GTATGAAATCGACGCACAACGCCCTGCGTGGCTAAGCAGGAGCGCGTGCAAAGCGGCGTAGCCAATGCAAACGGAATTCCCTCATTTGTTTCCATCGTATGTGGCTGTTGCATTTTGGGGGGAGACAGGATTTGCTGGCGAATATTATGAACATAAAGGGAACACGGGGCACGGCTTGCTTGGGCTCGAGATGATGTCGCCTGGGCCGACTCTCCGCTCTGGCCCGGCCTGGAGTCGCCCCAAACGCAGCCCGGCGTGTGTCACCCACGTTGTCTGCCTTCCCCGCGTGCAGAAGGCGTGTTATTACACAGGCGATAGCAAATGAAAGATCAGCGCAAACTTAGCCAAATATATATCAGCGAGCAAGTTGGAACACTCTGCGAATGACAGTCACGTGGTGTTTTGCAGAAACACTTACAAATTCTAAAGCTGAGAAAGTTGAAAACTTTGGTAGCCCTAAGAAGAAAGCCGGGCCACCCCAGTGAGCCACGCCCGACGTTCCGAAGACTACAAACAGTAAAAGTCTCAGTGCAAATTCATGATTGCTATGATCAATAACAGCAATATCACGCGCCGCGCACGCATAAAAAAAATCACTTAACACTTAAATACTATAAAACACACAACAATACCCTGAAGTGTGTTTTGGTGTAGCAAGGTAATTCTGGACGAGGAAATCTGCTGCGGAGTCCTGAGTCTGGGTGTGGTGTCGCACTCTCTCTCTCTCCAGCGCAAGCGTTCACATGCTCGTCGCGTCTCTTAAAGGCCACTTTGGGTGCTGCAGGAACGCGCCGCCGGCAGGACGAGGGCCATGAATCCACGTCGAAAGAGTAGTGAATTGTCGGAGGCCCGCGTCGGGTGGCCTGCACGAGCAAAGCAAGGCAGGTCCGCACCCACCAGGCATGCTTTCTCTGCAGCCAGAGAGTCGCTTGCCTCTGGCTAAGGCCCCTAATTATGCTCTGCATAGGAGGCGAAAACTTTTCTGGAAAGGGTGAAATGATACATTTTTTTTTTTTTTTTTGAGACGAGTCTCACTCTGTCGCCCGGCTAGAGCGAGTGCCGTGCGCGTCAGCCTCGCTCACAGCAACCTCAGACTCCTGGGCTCAAACGATCCTCCTGCCTCAGCCTCCCGGTAGCTGGACCACAGCATGCGCCACCACGCCCGCTCGTTTTTTCTATATATTTTTGGCTCACCAATTAATTTCTTTCTACTTTTAGTAGAGACGGGGTCTCGCTCTTGCTCAAGAGCTGGTTTCGGACTCCTGACCTCGAGCCATCCTCCCGCCTCGGCCTCCCAGAGTGCTAGGGTTACAGGCGTGAGCCGCCTCACCCGGCCAAAATAATAAGCATTTTCAACTCTGCTGACTCTAATGTCTCGGTCACGGTCATTCAACCCTGTCGCTGACGTGCACAAGCAGCTGCCGGCAACGCCCACACGCACAAACAGGACCTCTCCTTTGTTCAGGAAACAGGCGGTGGGCCCCACTGGCCCCACCGGGCCACAGTCTGTGGATCCCTGCTCCCCATCCCCAAATAGATCTTTCTAGGCCCCCAATCTCACCAAGGTGTCTTAACAAACATTAAAGATACAGTGTGACCATGGAGCACTATTCAGCTCTAAGAAACAACGGTGATCTAGCACATCTTATATTTTCCTGGCTAGAGCTGGAGCCCATTCTACTAAGTGGAGTTTCCCAAGAATGGAAAAACAAGCACCACATGGACTCACCAGCAAACTGGTACTAACTGAGTAGCACCTAAGTGGACACATAGGTGCTACAGTAATAGGGTACTGGGCAGGGGGGAGGGGAGGGGGCGGGTATAGACATACACAATGAGTGAGATGTGCACCATCTGGGGGATGGTCATGCTGGAGACTCAGACTTGTGGGGGGAGGGGGGGAAAGGGCATTTATTGAAACCTTAAAATCTGTACCCCCATAATATGCCGAAATAAAAAAAGAAAAAAAAAAAAAGGTGCAGTGTGCCTAATTTCCCTGTTTCTCCGGTTTGCGAGTGTAGACGGCAACTCGCTATTCCCGGGAAGAACGCTCGTCTCGGAGGTTCGATGCCCGCTCTGCATGTTAACACGCAGAGACGTTGAACGAACGGCCAGTGAGGCAAGGCGAGCCCCGTGGCCGGGACCTACCTCGTCCTGCGGGAAGACCTTGCTCCGCCTTCGCCACGTGACGTAGGGACGGCCCGCCAGGCGCGCGTGGCCAGGTCAGGTAGCAGCGCTCGAGTCCTCGCAGTTGTACCTGCGGACCAGGAGCACGCGGACCTGAGCTTCGGCTGGGTGCTTCTCCGCCCCAGGCCCACCGTTCCCTGTGGGCGGGCGGCCGGTGGCCCGCGTGCCTGTCACCACGCGGGCACTCTGGGAGGCCGGAGGCGGGAGATCGTTGCGAGGCAGGGAGATCGGAGACGCAGCCGAGCAAGAGCGCATGCAGACCTCCGGTCTCTACTAAAAAAAAAGATAGAAAGAGATTGGGGCTGTGACAACTGAAAAACAGTATATGTAGAAAAAAATGCAGCCGGGCCCATGTGGCGCAGGGCCCTGTAGTCCCCGCTTACCTCGGGAGGCGCTGAGGCGAGAGGATCGCTTGTGAGCCCAGGAGTTGGAGGTTGCGGCTGAGCTACCAGATGACCACCACGGCACGGCTACGCCCAGGCCTGACCAAAGTGAGACTGGTCTCAAGGGAGAATAATTAATGGTGATCGTCTCTGGGGGGAACAAGGCCCCTCCGGCCAACCTCACAAAAGGTTGCTGTCATACACAGTAACAAGACTGCAGAAAAGAGGAATGGTAAAGTAGTGGTGGAACTAAATGACTTTAGCTTTGTGTTTTTCTTTGAGGACAGAGTCTCACTGTCTGTTTGCCGAGGCTAGGACGTGAGTGCCCTCGGCGGTCAGCCTAGCTCACAGCAACCTCGGCAACATCCTGGGGAGCTCAAGCGACGCCTGCCTGCGCTCAGCCTTCGCCGAGCAGCTGGGCACTACAGGCCATGCGCCGCGCCGACGGCCCGTTGACGAAATTTTTTCTTCATATCATACTGTTTAGTTGCCAATTAACTTGTTCTTCTATTTGTTATACGGAGGAATCAGCGGTCGCCGGTCTCGGCTGCTTGCGTCCAGGGCGCTGGGGTCCTCGACTCCTGAGACCGTCGAGCGATCCTCCTGCCTCAGCCTCCCAGAGTGCTGGGATGACAGGCATGAGCCACCGCGCCCGGTTCTCTTTTAACACAACGATTATACTGACTGCAGGGAGATGCTCACGGTTGGAGAAGGAGCTCAGAGTAGGGGCAGCAAAGACTCGCATCTTCCGCACCAGGCCGGGGCTGGTCAGAGGAAGAGGTAGTTTGCTCGCCAGGTGCAAAGGCGGCTGCAGGCATTTTACACCTTTAGCTTTCTAAATGCCTATGTGATGTGACTCCTCTCTAACGGTCAAAATATTCAGCCTTTTGCTGCTCACAGCGGAAGCCTCGGCACGCACAGAAAGATCATCAGCTGCCTCCGTGCAGAACTGCCCCCCAAAAACTCACAGTTCGAACACAGCAGCCCAGTCTGGCAGGAAGAGCAGATGGGTGAGGCCGGCTCCGTGCATTCCGATGAACACGTCCGTGTTGTGCGTGACCCTTAGCTGCTCCAGAAAGCCGAGTTCTCTGTGCGCACGCGGAGCAGCACGGGAGGGGCGGGGAGGAGAGACAGGTGTTAGGGCGAGTTGGCCCTTGCATGCTTCAAGGCGACAATATCTACATGAGCGTGCTTCCTGTTTGCAGTCGCGGTCCCGCTCTGTGCCCGGGCCGACCCCAAGCACGCCGCGGTGACTGCTCACTCACTTCCTCAATGGCGTGACATGTCGTTCTAAGTGGCTCCCCTAACCCTTCTAGGCTGAAGCAGAGACGGGGGTCTCTCGCTCGTTTCAGGCTGGTCTCGATATCTCGACCTTGAGCGATCGCCTCCGGCCTCGGGCCCTCAGGTGGCTGGGTGTGACAGGGTAGCCGCCCCGCTCCGGGCGTTAGTTCTTAAATAGCAGAATAATCGAGGAACGAAGGGGCTACTTGCTAGCAAGGTCTACTGCTGTGAACTTGGCGTTACCCCACAATACCTTTCCTCAACACACTATGGGAACGGCCTGGGGGTAGGGGAGCCTCCGGTGCAAAGGAAAAAAACTGAACCCAGGTCTGTCGGACTCCGAGACTGGGGCTTCCTCAATGACCTTACTCTCCCTCCCTCCCTCTCTCCTTCCACTCTTCCCGCTCTGTCTCTCTGCGAGCAAAGAACGAAGACGGAGCCCACACTTGCCCAGCCACTTCTCTGACACAGACCGCACACATTTTTTTCAAATGTCTGCAGAAACTTGGAAACTTTTTTATTTTAGCGAACTGTGGGGGTACAGGTGTTAAGGCTGCGTACATATTGCCCTTGCACCCCCGACCTCGACTCAGAGCTTCAAGCGTGCCCGGCCCCAGACGGTGCCGGCTCACTGGCTGTGCGTTTATTTTTCAAGGGACTCTAGCAGCTGTCTCAAATGTGAAAGTGGCAGCGCATGGCCACGCTGCACACCCACTGCACACCCACTGCACACACGGCACACACACTGCACACACACTGCACACCCACTGCACACACGCTGCACACACTGCACACACACTGCACACGCACGGCACACACACTGCACACACACGGCACACACACTGCACACACACTGCACACGCTGCACACACTGCACACACACTGCACACGCTGCACACGCTGCACACACTGCACACACTGCACACGCTGCGCGCACACTGCACACGCTGCACACACGGCGCTCGCTGTGCACATGCTGCACACACACTGCACACACACTGCACACGCTGCACACACACTGCACACACTGCACACGCTGCGCACTCTGCACACACAATGCACATGCTGCACACCCACTGCACCCACTGCACACCCACTGCACACACACTGCACACATACTGCACACGCTGCACACAAACTGCACACACTGCACACGCTGCGCACACACTGCACACGCTGCGCACACACTGCACACACTGCGCACACGCTGCACACACGGCGCACGCTGTGTACACGCTGCACACACACTGCACACGCTGCACACACTGCACACCCACTGCACACGCTGCACACACACTGCACACCCACTGCACACCCGCTGCACACGCTGCACACACACTGCACACCCACGGCACACGCTGCACACACACTGCACACCCACTGCACGCGCTGCACACACACTGCACACACACTGCACATGCTGCACACACTGCACACACACTGCACACACACTGCACACACACTGCACACACACTGCACACACACTGCACACCCCCTGAACACACGCTGCACACACTGCATACGCACGGCACACGCACTGCACACACACTGCACACGCACGGCACACGCACTGCACACACACGACACACACACTGCACACACACTGCACACGCTGCACACACTGCACACACGGCGCACGCTGTGCACATGCTGCACACACTGCACACACACTGCACACGCTGCACACACACTGCACACACTGCGCACTCTACACACACAATGCACACGCTGCACACACACTGCACACACACTGCACACATACTGCACACGCTACACACACTGCACACACTGCACACGCTGCGCACACACTGCACACGCTGTGCACACACTGCACACACACTGCACACGCTGCACACACACTGCACACGTTGCACACACTGCACACCCACTGCACACGCTGCACACACTGCACACCCACTGCACACGCTGCACACGCTGCGCACTCTGCACACACAATGCACAT